GCTGGGTGCACTAAATCTAGTGCACGCACCACATGCAATACACACCAGGCTAGCCCTGTGCACCACATGCAGTGCCCATACTGGATCCAGCCCTGTATGATATAGTATGTTGTTTTGACAGAGCTTTATTTTTTGTTATTGGAACCTATCTGCCAGGAGAGGTATGTTAATGTGCATATTGTGGTGTTTCTATTAGAGAAAGCAGATTAAAATGCACGTTGTACTTGGAAAAGAAGATGAAGAGGCTTCAATCTTCTTTCTCTAACAGAAACACCACAATATGTACATTAATGTACACCTCAGAGTTCATTCTTCAGTTGCATGCCAGCAGCTGAGAGAATTTCATCTCCCGCACAAATGAGCCTTACTTTTATTATGAAAAGTTCATAGTGATATGTAGCATTGTCAACCAAAATCTTCATCCCGGAACTGTACAAAAATCTTTCAGATATGCTTGGCTTAGGCAACAGAATACTTTGAAATATGAGAGACCTTGATCTTGACACAATATTGAATAGCTAGTGAAGGTAGAAAAGGAAGGGCAGGTTTGACATGCTCATGGTATTGCTAAGGAAAAATGTTGAAGCCTCTTCCTTTCCGATCAGGAGTACCAGTAATAATGGTGCAGGATAAATTCAGTAAAATGTTCAATTAACAAAATATAAAGTAACAAAGAGCTTCTTCTCTGAAAGGTATTAAGCATCTCTAACAGTTTGTGTTGTTTAATGACTTACATGCTTCCTGTTTCTACTTGTGGATCCCCTAGTGCTACTGAGCTGTGGGTAACTTGTAAAATGTCAGTGCACTCCAGAATGAGGTGCCCTTGTATAGCCAAAAATATTTGAAGGTAAGGATATGAAAAATTACCCACTCCCCAGTCACTCTAGTTTCTTCCCCTCCATGGCTAGTTGTCTACTTCCAAAGACATAGAGAAAAAGATCTTTCAGGTTTCAGTGATGTATTTCATGCCATTTTTATCTTCCTGTAGTTGTCAGACCACCGCCTTGGGAAAACCACTCCCTGGTTCTTTTTCTCTTCATATGATATTTCTATAAATCAGTCCTGAAAGAACAGACATACTTAACTTCAGGCATTTTTCATAAGTGAAGCTTATGAAAAGCTTACAAAAACAGGAAAAAAGAGCTCACTGCTAGGATTAGCCTCTTTATGTGCATCCAGCAACACTGTATTTACTGCACACCATACATACCCAACTAAGACAGGCACCTTGTTTTTTGAAGGAAGAATGCTGGGGGCGTGGGGGGAGGGGGGGCAGATTTTCCAGTGTTATGGACTCAAGGTGTTTTTTAATGGAGAGGCTGGGCTGCAAAATGGCTGGTAACTTCTATCTTAGCTAGCAAGCAGAGAGCATCCATGAAAGGGTTAATACTGGACTCTACCTCTCCTGTTTGCTTGCTGAGAGGAAGCTGGCATCCATTTTGCAAGACAAAATCTTTATGCTTCTACCAGCACAGAAAATCAGTTCTTACACTTAAGAATCACACTTCAATTTATGGAGAGCTGATTGGGGTGAGGAGGGAGGAGGAAAGAGGGAGGTCCATGTGGTTTGCAAGTACATATGGTACATTTATATGGTGCAGTGTAGCATTGCGTAGAAATACCCAGATGAGGTGATAAGTTTGCACAGCATGATGCAGTGCTGTGAGGAGATACTAATAAGGATGCTGGATCAATATAAGTACTGTATTAATATGGCACTCCACCTGGGCTAATTTGCCTGGGCAAAGTGCAGTAGTAATGTACTTCGATTCTGGAACTAACTCAGATTTCTCTACAGAATACTGAGTTACTCTGCCTAGACTTAACCAAAGTTCACAGAACAATTTGGGTTGTGGTCCTGGGCTGCTCCAGAACCATAAATTCTCCAGTATTCCAAAATACCTCTCCCAGACAAGAATAAACTGCTGCTGCTGCATTATCAGGTTCATTGGTACTGGAGTCTAATGCTGATTGAGCAGACTGTGGCTTGTGGCTGTTCCCTTCATCTTGGAGTTTTGTCAAGTCCAGTTTTGGAAACCTCCATTTTATTCTCCTTTGTACTGAGGCCTAAGGATAAGAGGAAGTGGAAGTCAGGAGGTTTTTATAAAAGGGACTAATGGCTGGCTCAAAGAAGAAAGAAGAGTCATTCGCCACTTCTAGGGTTGGTTCAGATTTTTTGCTTCTTATTTCTTAAATTTTGACACTTTTGGTGACAGTTCTTCTTATAATTTCATTAGGTCTCCCTGGTTCTGTGACTAATATCTTTTCCATGGCAGCAGTTTCTCATTAGAAGTATCCAGTGGAAGTTTCTCTCTGACTCGGAGAATGTATCTGTGCCTAACTCAGAATCCATGTTCTAGAGTTGCCTGGATCAGCATCAGCAACATCCATGATTCAATAACTCATGAGACAGCTCAAGAGGTCAAGGAACTGCTTCTTCTGTGTGGCCATGTTCCTCAGGAGCTTCTGTTTGTCAGCTTCTTGGGCTTCCTAGTTTCATTTTATGCAATCTAATGTTCTGATTTAGATGAAAGAATTAACCTCCTGGGCTTCTTTTGAAAACCATACTCTCACCAGAGAAATTTGTCCCTATAATCTAGGTCAGGGCTGTCCCAACTTCCAAACATCTCCACAGGCCCTCAGGTCTGTGGCCCAGAAACACAGACTGAGGACCATTCAGCATTCAGGCAGCATCCCTGCCTCTGATCCTTCCCCACCACACGAACAGCATGATTCCGCCACTTCTGGTGCCTATGCCACACAGGTAGTCCACCTCCCTCCCTTCAACACAGGCAGCCTGGCTCCCCTCCTCACTTCCTGGCCATGTGTGCCACACACCTACAGTGCAGACAGCCCACCTCCTGCCTTTTTCATGTGCAGCATGAGCAGCCCAGATGTCTCCATGGCCATGCATGCATCACAGGCCTCCTGGCCCCCTCTACTTGTGTACAGTTTGAGCACCCCAGCATCATTCCACTGTGCTGTTCCACTCCCCCAAAGGCAGGGGAAGGAAATAGAAGCAGAGGAGGGAGGGAGAGCACAAAGAACCCAGCTTCCATGGCAGAAGCAATGACTGGGGGGGACAGTGGTGGCTAGGCAGGAGACCATGGGCTGTATGCTAACCCCTTCGGGGCTGCATGCAGCAATGTGGGCTGCCAGTTAGACATCCTTGATCTAGGTATTAGAAAACTGCTGAGTTGTATTTCATAGATTCATAGATGCTAGGGTCTCAAGGGACCTCAAAGGATCATCAAGTTTGACCCCCTTCCAATGGCAGGAAAAAGTACTGGGGCCATATGACCCCAGCCAAGTGCTTGTCCAGTCTCCTCTAGAAGACCCCCAAGGTAGGAGAGAGCACCATCTCCCTTGGAAGCCCATTCCAGATTCTGGTAACCCTAACTGTGAAGAAGTTCTTTCTGATGTCCAAACAAAACCTACTATCAGCTTGTGCCCATTGTTTCTGGTTATTCTGTTAAACAGAGCATCTCCTTGGAGTAACCAGCTGATGGAGAGTAGATTTAGGCTGCACATCAGAAAGAACTTCTTCTGCTGTTGTTAGTTTTATATTTATGTGAATAATAGCAAGGACGTCCCCTAATATTTTGTATATGCTAGAGATCAGTGTAAATGGCATAAGGTTTCCATTTGGTGTAGTTAATATAGATTATAAACTGAGATGTGTGTCTGACTATTTCTAGTTTAACTATACTGGAAGAGCTTATGCTTATGCCACTAAGTATAATGTGGCCCTTATGATTTACTTCCAATGAGGCTTTCATTACAGAAACCTGTAGAGCTGCTGCATAGTATCCTGTACACACCTCTACTAAAAATGACTCTATGGAGTTGGTATCTTGAGTGACAGTTTGGTTTAGGAGAACAGTTTTGTATGTCTAGCAGCCTATCATCAGGTGAAAGTTATATAATTAACTAGAATCCCATTAAGTAAAAGAATATAAAGAGGCCACCTTAATGGAGTAAGAAAAATCAAGTTCTAGTAAATGTGGTTGTTTGAAGGTGTTCCCTCTCTACATGGACCTTTTAGATATGGCAGGATATACATCTAAAATAAATAAATAAATAGTATTTAGCATGCTAACTTATCTTGCTCTCTACCTTGGAGTTCTAGGATTCCTAGATTTAGCAGAAGGAAATGGAGCAGCTGGGTACCACAGTCTCTTATGATTGGCTTTTGATATTTGGTGCCCTAAGGGTGAAAAGAGAAGGCATTAATTCAGTCTTGAGTTGCACTGTTTTTTCTGGACAGTTTCCAAAGCCTAACATCACCTAATGGTATATCTCCTAAGGATGACTATGCAGTTATTACTGTACAATCTTTTATTTTCCTCTTTCTGGTCACCAGATACACTTTGCTAATTGAGCTCATGCTAGAAAATCATGTTGTAACTGCTGCAAAAAAGCCTGAAATGATCAATAATACAACATATACTCATAGTAAAACTTATTTATGAAGGTTATTAACTACAGCTTCTATGCCAAATCCAGACAATTTTTTCCCCTTGAAAAATAAAAAAGATTTTAAACAAAAAGGTTTTATACTCAATAGCAACATTCTTAACAGGGTTGTAAGATTGATATTATTTAATTGCTATTTATTAATTTTAGTGGTTATTACTCACCATAGATATTTACAAAAGCATTTGTATATTGAATTACTGAAGAAACAGTTATCTTCATTAGCATCTGTCAGTATTCCAAATGAATAGCACTGAGGTGCTATTGTTTGAACCTATGCTCTATTTTTTTCAATGAATAAACTAAGTTCTTAAATTAATAATTGATTTCTCCACTGTTACGTCATACTGCATGATTGTTAACATATATATGCACATATTTTTTGTCAGTAGGCTGCATAATATTTTAAATGGTGCTTTGCAAATTTAGCATGAATATATTAATACATAATTACTTTTTGCAACCTAATAAGCTTCTGTATTTATCAGTCTTCTAAATTAGGGTATATTATTTTTCTTCCTTAGGGATACGATGATGGATATGGGGGTGAATATGATGATCCAAGCTATGAGGCATATGATAACAGTTATGCCACCCAAACACAGAGGTAAGCTTTTGTAATTTTTTAAGACTTGTTTTCCACTGCATTTTTTCTTTTTGTAATATGAATTTCAAATCTTGATTTCTAACAACAAGCAACTCTTCATAAACTCTCCATATTCTTAAGTAGCTATTAAAAGTCAGTAACAAAGACTGTCAGAGCTGGCATGGAAGATAACCCAAGTTAAGCCAAAAGCATAAAATTCAGTTGTAAATAATTTCAAATCATAGCCTCATTTTGGAAACAAATCCAAGCGACTTTCTTTCTGTCTTTCTTTCTCAGAATGTTAAGGCTTCAAGACAGTGGATAAGTCCTTATTTTATTACTGCTCTTAGCATATGATAGGTACCACCATAAACAAATAATACTATCATAAATTTAAATATAAATGTAGAACTTTAAATATTCTTCAATCTTATTATACATTTGATTGAGTTTACTTTAACTGAATGATGCAGTTTGATTGTCTGAGATGATTTATGATCATAAAATGAGTTACTGTCATATTATTGCACCATTTTTCAGTTGTGGGGGGAAAAACATTGATTCTTTAGTTACTGCAGAAAAATATCTCTTGTAAAAAGTGTGTATACTTCTTAAGTACTAGAAACCATTTCAATAACTGAGGCCCCCTCTATGCATACTGGTAAGGCATGATTGGATCTAACGTGTGATCCACATGCTTGTGCCTCCTGCTATGCTACACTTGCATGGCAGGAGGTGCAATTGTGGGATTGTACATTAGATCAATCATGCCATATTGCCAGAGCAAAGGGAGCCCAATCCTGGGCTCCCCCTACACTGACAAGAAGCAAGAAGCCGCCATTGCTGACTTCCTCATGCATAGCTGACACTGAGAGCCCCATAATTAACGGGGCTCCCAAATCAGGCTGCGACTCATGCACAACAGGGATCAAGAGCCCTGTCAGTTGCATGGTTCTTGGTCTCAACTACATGTGAGGTGCAGCCTAGACCTGGAGCCCTATCAGTTGTGGGGCTCTTGGTCCTGGCTGTGCGTGAGGCTCAGCCCAAATCAGGAGCCATATCAGTTGCAGGCTCTCTTGGTCCCACTGAGGGTGAGAAGGTGGACTGAGAGTCCCATGTGGGCTGGGAGTTTCCCACAACGCCTCTCCCAGTCTTGGGGATCACAGAAGCTGCAATTCCCAGGGCTCAGGGTTTTCACATTAGGCAAGGTGTAACCCTGCAGCTGGGAGCCCTGTCAGCTGACGGGGCTCCCAACCACAGGAGAGACCCTGTTGCATGTGTAAATTAAAGCTCCATAGCAACCAACTATAAAGTTAGGACACATTTTGGAGGTTTAACTTTATAGCTAGTTGCAGCTTTTTATCGTGTGATAGCTACTTCGCATGTGTAGCTGGTCTTAAAGTCATTGCAGAATTAACCAATTAACTGCACAATGCCTGTAATGTGTAGCGGGGGCCTGAAACTGTTCAATCTAAATACCTACCTTAGAGTTAACTGGTTAACTCAACTTATTTACACCCAGCTCCTGCTCCACCTACTAAGTATCTAAGGCCTATTCTAACCTCTTCATATCCAAGAATTTTTTTTTCACATGCCTACATTTCTAACATGTCTTAAGCACCGTCTTCCTTACTAAGTCACAAAAGGAAAAAGGGACCTGGGTTCTAGGCCCCACCCAGACTGGAAGGATTTGACCACACATTTCCTATTTCCCAGGGGATTACTCTAACTACTAGGCTATAAGATAGGCAGGGCTGAAGGCATCCTTCACCCATTCTGAAACCAGACCACTGGGGAGAAAGGAGTACAAGAGTCATGGGACCAAAAGGAGATGGAGTCTGAGTCCATACCCCATTGAGATGAACACTCCTCTGGGACAACAGGTGTCCTGGATTCTGGCTGCTACTCCAAGAGCTGTTTATACTTTATGATTTTGTAATGAAAAATCCTGTTCCTTCTCCTCAATCATCCTGGTGAATGTAATCACCTCCATTCTAGGCAGTTAGGATCAGAGATAATGGAACTATATAATGAACAGCTTTGAATCAGGTGTCTGAACACACCGCACATACCTCATTTCTTATAGGTTGGCTGTAGGTGACCTCCAGTCTGTTGTTTTTGCTATTTGCCCATGTATGAGGCTGCCCATTATAAAAAATGGGAGAACTGTGCACCTCTTTGGCTGAAGTAGCAAGATCCATATTTTTGGAAACAAGCAGCCATGTAGGCCTGGACTTCTAATAGGTACATGTGGAGTTGGGTCTTAATGTCTCCAAAATAGGGAAGGCCTGAAGTAGTTACTGAAAGCAACTGATTTTCTGTCAGTTACTCTCTCAATAATATTCAGAATCAGTATTGTAATATGAAGGCCATAAAACTACCCAAACTGATTTAAGTCTGTTCTATGTCCTCACAGAACAAGTGTAAATTAGCTTATGTACTTTTATTGTCCTTCATATTAAAATAAGGGAAATAATCCTCATGATACAGTGATGGTATGGCTTTTTTATGACTGGTATAGCTAAAAAAAAAGATAAATTTATCCATTTGATTACAGCAGACAGCAGATTTGGAATGAACCTCCATAAGACATAATACATATCCTATAAATATAGCTCGGAATTTCATCAAGTTGAAATCTATTTTTCAACTGGCCAGTCAGAGAACACCATTAGTAGCAGTGAAAAAAACATTATGAAACATCAGATGAAGGTTTAAAGGGAAAAGAATACATTTTTCATTGAATTAGCATAGTTCCTGTGAGACAACTAAGAAAATAGACATTTGTGTACAAAATTGTATTCCTTAAAGGTTGTGGGCCTAAAATTACTAAGTTTGCAAGTTGAGTATTTTACTGAGAGAGAAACCCCTCAGCATTCTCTTCAGCTGCAGAACTGCTGTAGTGCACTTGAGATGAATAAGGAAGCATTGTCTTTTGTATTTTGCTAAAACTAGTAAAGACTGTTAAAAGTCCTTGGTTACATCTGAATGTGTACCCTCTCATGTATGCTTTAACTGCATGCTTTAGTACAGCGGGGTACTTGAGAAGGCCCTAGGGGGTATGCGTAGGTGGGCAGGCGGGGACGGCGCACTGCTACCCACCACCCTGCACCACTGCCTCCCAGGAGCAGGGCCGGGAGGGTGGGGGTTAGGGCAGCAGCACCCCTGTGCAGGCCACACAGGCATTGCCCAGCCAGCTGAATGCAGGGGGGAAGGTTGTAGGCTGTGGTGGCCACCGCCATCCCCCACCATGCACTGCCGCCACTCCGCATCTGGCCATGCACCACCCCCCACCCCACTCCGCATCTGGCTGCCAGGGGTACACTTACTAAACAAGGTTGAAAACCCCTGCTTTGGTACATTATTAGTAGGTTAATCCAGCAGGCAGATTACTTCAGTTGTACTCCAAAATTAAAAATAATATATCTTTGGCCATCTTTTGCTACAAACGTTACAATAGTTAATTGTCACAGCAAAAATGATTGAAATAGCTATATTGAGACTGTTCTATGCAGTCCTTTGCAAATTGTAGTCCTCAGCAACTGAATGAAATCCTTATCAAAATTATAGGTGTTATGCCAAGCTAGAACTACTAGACATGTTTTATGTCAAGAAGTAAAATTTAAAGAATCAAGTTAACCATAAATATACATTTAATTAATATGAAAATACTCTAATTAACATAATCATAACAGTACTATATTAATTAGTAGTAAAGTAATATGTATAGCAGCCATATAGTTTTTCACAAATATGAACTAACCACAGAAGATTCAAACTATATAAATTGTTCCTAATCAGCAACTAAATCAATTTTGGAAATCAATTTTTCTATTGTTGTAGGAAAATAGGTGTGGAAGGGACCTCATGAGGTCATCTAATCCAGCCAAATATCCCCTCAGCCATCTATTCTCTAGACTCAATTACCCTTTTTTTTTTTTTTTTTTTTAGCTTTTCCTCTTAAATCTTGCTTTTTAGGTCCTTAATCATTTTGTTTCTCTGTGCTGGACTCTTTCCAATCTGTTCACATCCTTCTTGATGTACAGGGTCCAAAACTGGACACAGTACTCTAGGTGAAGCCTCACCAGTGCTGAATGAAGCAGAAGCACATTGTTGGCTCATATTCAGCTTTATGGTTTACAGTAATCCCGGCAATTCTTTTCCACATCACTTCAGCCTAGCCAATCTGTATTTGTGCATGCCATTATTCCATGCCAAGTGCAGGACTTTTCACTTGTCCTGGCTGAATCTCATCTGATTGATTGTGGACCATTTTTCCAGTCTGTCAGGTCATTCTGTGTCCTAGCTCTGCCCTTCAGACTGTCTGCAACTCCAACCATCTTGTTATTATCCACAAATTTGTTAAGCATGCATTTGATGTCATCATCTAAATCATTAAAGAAGAAGTTGAACAAAACCAGATCAAGGAGAGATCCCTGGGGAGTCCTACTTGATGCTTCCCCCCAGAGAGATATTGAGCCATTGAGCCATTACTACTCACTGGGCATGTCTCCACATGCATTTAAGTGTGACTAGATTTGCTGTGCATTAAGCCAATTAGTAATTAGTACACATGCAAGAACCTGGCACTAAATTTGGTGCTAGGTCCCTCCAACCCTGCCATGTGCCTCTATAGCCACTGGGGGGGAGCTCCAGCCTCTAGCCCCAGCTACCAGCAGTTGGCAGCCTATCTTTAAAACACAGCCCCATTTTGTGATCTCTGGGCAGCCAGTCCCAGTGCTCAGCCAAGCAGCATGGTACACACGGAGGCAGCACATGGAAGCTTTGTTCATGCCCTCTCTGTGTTTGTGAGCTCTGGCTTCCCTAGTCCTTGGCCCTGGCAGTAAGGGACAAGATCCTCCGATCCTGCTGGCCACCTCAGTCACCCTGCTGGCCTGCCGAAGTCACCATCACCTGGCCTATGGCAATCTTGCTCTGCCTGGCTCCCCCACATGCAGAGACTGCCTGCCCACTTACAGCACACCCTCCCGAAGTCCCCACTGCCATGCAGCTGCTGCCAC